CAGTGAATGGGTGCCGTCAGAATGAGAGTCCAAACAGCTGATAAAAATGTTTTATCAGCTGTTTGGACTCTCATTCTGACAGAGAAAGCAGTATTATAGCTAAGCAACCGTTTGAAGTTAAAACGTCTTAATGATGAATTTGTTTCTTACAAACACGCAGCTTTTCACTTCACCAGATGTTAACTGATGGACTGGAGTGATTTACAATAATCCACAAGTAATCCACATCACTCCAATATTGCTTCCTCCAGTGAAAAAGTCATCTTGTCTGAATCAGCAGAGAAATATGCGCAGATCAAGCACAGTTTACAAGCCAAAACAGTTCAAGTCAGATCTAAACAAATATGCTGGTGTATTTAGATGTTAGAGAACAACAGAGGACTGACTTTTTCACTAGAGGAAGCATTGTTATGGATTATGGACTCATATTTTGGCCAGAAGTGACAGTTTAAAGTTAAAATGCCTTAATTCTTATAAACTTAAAACTTATACATTTAACTTACATTTTAGGTCAGAGGGGTTCAGCTGCCACAAGCGTTTGGGAATCCCTGCTCAAAGTACTCATTAGGGCTGTTGTATACATGGTTCTGTGTTGTGTTGACTATACTGTGTCTGACTTTTATAGCCGTTAACTGTGGATTTGCATTACTACTACATCCTGGAGCTGTCCTTCTATCTGTCGCTGCTCTTCTCGCAATTCACAGACATCAGAAGAAAGGTACGTAACCATGAGTTTACAGCCTCAGATAACAGTTTTTCATCTTCAGAGCATCAGTGTTGGGCTGCTGGCAGCAGTTACTGCACATCTGAACTTGAAAGATAGCTTTGTGGGAGGCTTTGGTCTGCTACAGCGGTTTGAGTTTCTCACGCTGGGTTTATTAGCAGTGACGTGCGGCGGGTCTCTTGTTTCCTCTGGAAGGGTTTTTTTGGTTTCAGGGGAACTTCCTTTTAAACGTGTGAATTCTTGACCATTAATAACTGCTGCTACTTAATTTCAGCTGAAGCTTGCATTGTCTAATATTCATTGTGTTCCGATATTCATGTAAGGTTATGAAAAAATACATATGATCAGTATGCATGATTTTCATTTATATGCAAGATTGAGGTGAGTTTCTTTATGAATGCGTTGTCATGAGCATAAATTGCAGTTTTTAAATTAGCATTTGGAAGATACTGTAAGTAAATGGGTGTCCCACAGATTATGCCGATTTAGGTTGTGTAATATAAACCGTTGCAAATTTATTTTTAGCTTTGGCATTTTGATCATACAGGAAGTAAGTGTGAATATTGTTAAAAATATAGGTCTACTTTAGTGGTATACTATAAATAAATAAAAAAGTTCAATAAATACACAATAAATAAAAAAGTTCAAAAGCAATAATGCATTAAGTTGCTTTTGACGTTTCTATTCATCAAAGAATCCTGGAAAAAAAAATTCCACAAAAATATGAATCAGCACAACTGTTTTCAACATTGATTATAAGAAATGTTTCTTGAGCAGCAAATCAGCATATTAGAATGATTTCTGAAGGATCATGTGACACTAGACTGGAGTAATGATTATTAATATTTAAAACAGTTGAGTACATTTTTTTTCCAGGATTCTTTGATAAATAGAAAGATCCAAAGATCAGCATTTATCTGAAATAAATGGGGGTGGGGGTAATTATAGAAATTAATACTTTTATTTAGCAAGGATGCTTTAAATTGATCAAAAGTGATGCTAAAGACATTTATAATGTTACAAAATATTTCTATTTCAGATAAATGCTGTTCTTCTGAACTTTCTATTCATCAAAGAAACCTGAAAAAAATTCTACTCAGCTGTTTTCAACATAATAATACTACATGTTTTTTCAGCAGGAAATCAGAATATTAGAATGATTTCTGAAGGATCATGTGACACTGAAGACTGGAGTAATGATGCTGAAAATTCAGCTTTGCTTTGCAAAAATAAATAAAATGTTAAAATATATTCAAATAGAAATCAGTTATTTTAAATTGTAATAAACCTACGTACAACCTTAAACTCAAATACTATCTTTTTTTCTGCCTTGCATGCCCTGCTGTTTCCTTCAGGAAATGCAAATCTTGTTTTTCTTTGCTCTCTCCTTTCAGTTTTTCCGTGCACGCATTGAGGATGTGCTCTGCCCCATTCCCGCCTCACCAGTGTACACCCTTCTCTTCGTTTGCCATGCTTCCATTCTGTTTTTCACCCCACTGCACTTCCTCCTCATCTTCATCATCAACACCTGGCCTCTTGAGAGCTTTCTTCAACAGAATTTCCTCAGTGAGAATATGTGAGGACACTGAAAGCTCCTCCTTTATCTTGCAGTGTTTAAGCGGTTTAAGTTGATTCATGGTTTCTTATGCACACATTAGCAAGCTGTGAATAAAGTTGCTAATATAGTGATATGCTGTAGCTATATGAAATTTATGCAAACCTGAATTAGTCCTTCCTGTTCTGCAGGACATTTTGGACTCTTAAAAACCTGAATATGCTTGTGTTATAATTTAAAAACACTATTTATATAAAAGGGTGTGACAGACTTCCAGAAATATCTTTGGTCAAGCTCAGACACATCAACGTTTTTAATTATAGCTTGATTATTTACACAATGGCAAGAAAATGAATCAAATGACTAACAAGTAGGAAATAAAGAGCTATTTTTAGTAATTGATTGCTCAGTCAGGGTTTAGCAGTTCATGAGGGAGTCAACTTGAAGCAGTATTCTTTTAGTAAAATTTATATACTAAAAAAAAAATCTGTTTTTATTAATCAATAAATATGTATTAATATTAATGTTTTTATTAATTTTAAATTTGTTTTTATTTGAAATGATCAGTGTTCATTTTAATTTGTGAAAGTTATAGTAATTTTGTTGTGTTTTTGTGTATTGTATGTATGTTTCGTTTGAGTAAAACTATCATCATATCATATGCATATGGAAACTCAAAGGTCTTCATGACAACCCGTCAAAATAAAAGTTTGATTTGACTTAAAGAAATCGTGACAGAAATACATTACTATATTACTTCCATGTTTTAATTTTAATAGTAAACCCCCTTTGTTTGACAAAAACATAAAAGAGTTTGTTTCATTTTCATTTTATTAAAAGATATATTAATGTTTTATGCCTTCATTTGATAACCAGAAAAATTAAAATACACAATAGAATTTCTGAGAGAAAAAAATCATAGGGCTATTGTAAAAATAAATATTAATAAAGTAAATATAAATGCTTAAACACAGAATTTGGTAACAATAAAACAGAACATGAGAGAAAAAAGGGCTGCCCCTTAATAGTCGACTAACCGTTAGTTGACGAGGAGAGGGTTAGTCGGACAAAATTTTATTAGTTGCAGAAAAAAAAAAAACACATTCCACAGTAAGTGGCGAAGTCACATAGTCGTGGCGGACAGATCATTAACAGCTGGACTATGTGGTAATTACTAGAGCCCGACCGATATATCGTTTAGCCGATATTATTGGCCGATATGAGCCTGTCGCCGATATATTGGTATCTGCGAATATGCCGCCGATACGAAAATTTTTTTACAGAACATATAACGCAGATAAAATGCTTGAAATGGTGTAATTACTTAGTTTGTCCAGCAGAGCGCGCTCCATTGTTTGCTACTGGCGACCTGGATGAAACACTTTAAAGCTTAAGTCTATGGAAAACCATTGAAACTTTGAACGGCCATATCTCCGTAACGGCGCGGCGAATCCGCACCAAATTCAGGGGATCCCTTCAGCTTGTACTATAATGTACACGTAAAGAATATCGGCCGATATATCGATATCAGCAGTTTTATACTCCCAAATATCGGTATCGGCATCGGCCCTCAAAAAACCCATATCGGTCGGGCTCTAGATCATAGTACATCAGTATATTCTGTAATTGTGAATGTATAGAGAGCTGAAAATGAGTTGTATTAACAGTTTGAAAATACAACTTCCAAGAGATCTCCATTACTTATTAAAGCTTAGAAATCAGAATATTAGAATGATTTCTGAAGGATCATGTGACACTGAAGACTGGAGTAATGATGCTGAAAATTCAGCTTTGCTTTGCAAAAATAAATAAAATGTTAAAATATATTCAAATAGAAATCAGTTATTTTAAATTGTAATAATATTTCACAGTATTACTGTTTTTTTCTGAATTTTTGATCAAATAAATGCAGCCTTGGTGAGCACAAGACACTTCTTTCTGAAACATATATAAAATCTTACTGATCTCAAACTTTTGAATAAATAAATTCATAAAATAATAGCTAAGTACCTAAAGTCAGGAATCTTTTTTGTGCACATGAATCAAATCATTTTGGGAAACTGTTATACATTTGCATTTAGGATGATTTTATTGCAAAATAACTCATGATTAAAGCTACCTTTTTTTTTTCCGCATTTTTTTCCTAATCAGTTTCAATGAGACATTCTGTCAGTTGCACGGTGTGTGCTTCTTCAGGCCACACTTGGTTGCTCCGCTCACTGTCAAATCTTATTGGTCCAAAATCCTAAATCACATAATTCATAATGCTACATTAACATCATTTATCTTCTGTTTGGCTGTTTGCACATCATTTTTGCTTTCAGTGTGGACAGGCAAATTACTTGACGCTGTAACCTTCTCATGCTGCGCCTGTTTGAGACACAACGTCAGTCATAAACAAATGTCATGTAAATGAATGCAAATGTAAACTAAAATCCAGACTGCCCTCAGCGCTCTCAAAAGCTTCATTGAGCTCCACAGGCTGTGTAATTGTCCCGTGTTGATTACGGCAGTGTCCTCTCAATGTAAAAGTGCTCTCCTGCAGCTGACATAAGCGCTCTCCGTCACAGCCGTATTGGTTTTGTGGCGTAATGCAGGAGATTCTCAGCCTGTGTATTTGAACAGATGGACAGTTAGCACCTGCAGTCTGTGCTTTCTAGATTTTCTTTCTCTTGTTTCCTTCACAGCCCCTCAGAGCCAGACTCATGCACTCAGCCGCTCTCATTTCTCTGCTCATTGTTGGCATGTTTTTCTGTTTTTACACTGTTTGCAAGGCAACACATACTGGTTAGGGTTTGTTGGAAACCACTAACTCTACATATTAAACTTCTGCAATTAATTTAGTATATTATATCGTTTAGCCGATATTATTGGCCGATATGAGCCTGTCGCCGATATATTGGTATCTGCGAATATGCCGCCGATACGAAAATTTTTTTACAGAACATATAACGCAGATAAAATGCTTGAAATGGTGTAATTACTTAGTTTGTCCAGCAGAGCG